TGCGCTAGATCCTCATGACTATACGTTTGGGCATCGACCCGCTGACTGAGCTCGTCAATCTAAAAACCATCACAATAGAGGATATGCCCTTGTCAGTGACAGAGACCCGATCCCTCAATTTCTCTCCTTTTCCTTCTCCCTCGCCGTCCTCTCTTCCCACTTCTGCCTCTCTTCAGCCGCTTCCTTTTCACGCCTTCTTAATTCTCCAACTTCACTGCATTAAAAACTCTTACCATGTCAAAGTTCAACTACACTGTCATACCGCTCCTTCTCCGCAACACACCCACGTATTTCCTCGTTCTTCCTCTCATACTGCTCGGGGTCGTCCAGATCGCCACTTTCCTTGATCTTCTCTATAGCCGCCTCATTGTCCCCGATTATTTTCAAGCACTAACCACACGATCACCCACACCTACACTCCTCTGCAGTCACCTTCGCATTTTCGCTCCTCAGCTCTTCATACTGCGCCCTAGTCAGGCCTTCTATCTTGTCGAGCATCGCAGTCTCCTCCTGAGATGGAGTGCTCCTCAGCACTCAGTAACAGACACTCCCCACCAGTGTTTCGGCCTGGCCCGCTTGCACCCAAGAAGTATATGCCGTACCAAGCGCCTTCTCTCGAGCCTGAGGCGATCACATACAGATGGCAATCTGCCCGAGGTCTCGGGTACCCGACAGGTATCAGAAACTGAATTAATTCGCTCCCTCATCCTGTCCGCCTCATCTGCCTCTTCCACCAGCCAACTGAGCAACCCCAGAAGGGCAGGCCATGTGGTGATGGCCCCAACACTAGCCAGGGCTGACTTGGGCACATCATAGGGATACAACAGCTTCGTCCTAAGATGAAGTTATCAATAACATTCTGTATAGAGACGAACCCACCTGACGATTGAGATGAGGTCCTCAGGAGTGCTCTTCTTTTGGGGAGCAGAGACGATCAGGTTGGGATCAATACGCTCCAGCAGGAACTCGCAGAGAGAGAAGAACTCCCTCGTCGAAGGGCT